TTTGGTTTTACGTCACTGTTGCTCTCCAAACTCAGCAATGCCCTTATCGAGGCGACCCATCTGCAGTGGAAAACTGAAGTGAACTGGAACTGTGCTGCAGTTAGCACCTCTTCGCGGTACAGCTCGGTTCCTGTATACCAGTGGAAAAGCACCACTGGTTTCATTATGTAAACGGTCTCTGATATCAGTTGATGGTTCTGGGAAAGCTCAGGTCCAGGGCACTGGGTGGGGCCTGGGATACGGCGTGGGGTACGGCCCAGAGTGCATTGTGGGATACGCCATGGGGTATGGCCTGTGGTGCATTGTGGGATACACTGTGGGGTTCGCACAGGGTACACCCTACGTTGTGGAGTTTTGCCTGTGGTGCATTGTGGGATACGCCATGGGGTATGGCCTACAGGACACCCCGATGCTGCCTTGATGGTGCAGTGCCCGGTCTCTCCTCCCCACAGGCCTCTTCCTGCAGCAGTGTCACTTCCTCAGACAGGCAGGTCACTCGGAAAAGGCCATCGCTCTCTTCCAGGCGCAGCTCGACTTCAACTTCTTCAAGCCGGATACGGTGAAGGACATGCACACCAAGCAGCAGGTACGGAGCGGCCCGGTGACACCCCCTCCCTCGGTGCCCCAGTGTGCCGCATGCCGGCCACGTGGGTAGTGCTGCAGTCCATGTGCAGTCCGTGCCTTTAGCTGCATGACCAACCCCACAGCATCACATCATGTCAGCCAGTCATGGACAGCCGGTGGGATCTAAACAAATGAAAAACTTCGCCTTGGGGTCCCTGCATGGTGATCACAGATCATACGATGCTGTATTGCTAAGACAGTGTTGCAGTATGCAGCCATCTTCACTCTGAGAGTCACCCCCCCACCTTCACTCTGAGAGTCACCCCCCATCCTCACTCTGACAGTCACCCCCCATCCTCACTCTGAGAGTCACCCCCCCATCCTCACTCTGACAGTCACCCTCCCATCCTCCCTCTTTCTCCCCCTCTCCCCCTTTTCTCTCCTCATGCTGCCTGACCCCCAGTTCCTCTGACCATGTCTGTTTCTCTGTGGTCTCAGCTGTGCTGTGGAAACTTTGCCGATCCAGATTGTTACTACGAGGCTCCGTTAATGAACAGCTGCCCCCCTCCCCCTTTGCCTAGGTGTGACCGCTCCACATTCAGCTTACCGACGAGTGAGGTCTGTTATCCCATTGGACCATTCTCCCGAAAAGACAGACATCCCCCTCTCATGTGTAAATAGCACAATGGAAAAGTGCGGCCAGTAAATGGCTGAGGGAGTGAGTCTCTGGGGGCCGTAATGGCCCCCGTCGTGCTTAATGGCCGCTCTGCCCTCGGGGCTGTTTGCTCTGCGTGGTCGGCAGTCGTTACAGCCTCCGTGTGACTGCGCATATCCACGCCGGTAACTAAGGGCTTTATCTGCTCTCTTCACAGACCCCGGCTCCATTGACATTTGCTCCCTTGTGACCCAACATGAGCAGTTTCTCGTTAAGCCTCTTTAATGTACGCATTCTGGCCTCGGGGTTATTCACTTGCTCCAGCTTTGCCCTCTTGTCTCCTGAATTGACTGGTCTCCTGATCAGAATCACCTCCAAATGAGGTCCCGGCACCGAGAGAAACACCAAGAGGGAGGGCAGTGGATGCTTTGCTGGAATACTAAATTCTGGAGAAGTGCCTCAGAAGTGCCTCAGAGGTACAAAGGAGACATGACTAGCCAGCAGTCCTGCTGGTGTGGAAGTCCTCCTTCAGTCCCATGCTCGGACTCCCTCTCCCCTTCACTTTTCCTCTCCCCTTGAATTTCCCGGATCTCCTGACTTTCTCATCCATTGTGACTCTCCCACTCCCCCTTATGACCACGCCCCATCATGACCACGCCCCCTGACAGCCCCACCCCCGACTCTCTCGCTCGTCCATTATAACCTGCGGTATGGTATCCTCACATGCTAACAGCCAGCAGGGCAGCCTGAGCTGGCGAGCATGCGCCTGTGCTTCATGCTGTTCCCCGCAACCGAGGGCCTTCCTGCAGATTTCAAAACAAGCCCATTAATCACCTAGTTACCTGCTGCTACATTGTGTAACCTTTGCATGTTCTCTCAGTGATGCGATGTTCCTGTCCAGGCTAATCCTGCTCTGTTTAGCATCAGGCTACAGCACCTGGACTTCTTTACATAAATCCATTACAAGAAGTGGAACCTCCCCCATCCTTAAGCTGGCGCTATGGGGCTGCACCGTTGGGCTGAGGACTCGTGTTTCCACCTGTCCAGGTCGAGTTCTTCGAGCCCTTCTGGGACAGTGGGGAGCCGCGTGTGGGAGAGAAGGGGGCCCGTGGCTGGAGAGCATGGATGCACCAGCAGGAGAGGGGGGGCTGGGTCGTCCCCGGAGAGCCAGGTCAGTGATCGCTATACAGCCGTGAGCAGGTGTAGTATAACCCCAACACCTGCTAATGGGGTACTCCATTGGCGCGATTCAGACGACGACGACGACGATGAGGAGGACGAAGGATCAGAAGTGAAGGACAAGACCTGGCCCAAGTGGCGCATCTGGCTGGATGTGGAGACATCCCGTGAGGCCAGCCATTGGCTACCTTGGAGGCCGGACAAAGCCAAGGGCCAATCGGAAGAGGACTGTGAAGACCCAGACAGACAGGTACCGCCCAGCTCCGCAGACTGGCAGCCGGCGATGCTGCTTCTGCCTCGGGCCTAATCAGCTGCCTGCTCACTGCCCAGGTCCTGTTCGACGACGTGGGGCCCTCTCTGATCCGGCTGATGCAGCCTGAGCTCCGCGTCCAGCTACTCCGCTCTTTCCTGCATTTCCTGGGAATGCCGGCTGATGGCTGCCTCCGGGGCCCCTCTTGGAACATCCTGCTTGACGACCTCTCCTTGCTGCAGGAGGCCCCCGACACTGACAGGCCCCTGACCTCGGGCCTCTTGCCCACTGGGGTCAGCCCCGTGGGTCATACGACCATGCTAGGTGCTGCTCGCAGGACGGTGGGCCTGTGCAAGCAGGGGGAGGAGTTCATACAGCTCGCCGTTCAACAGCTGTGGCCCTTGCTCTCTGGCCCAGAGAAGTCCCAGCTGTCACTGTGCTTGCTACAGTATGAGAAGCTCAAGGTGGGTTCAGGTCCCCTTCCTGCCCTTGGTGTTCGGGCTTCGACACATAGCAGTAGATTGATGAATTTGTCTTGGTCCTGCCAGGTGCTGCGCTGCATCCGTTCCAAGGCCAAGAAGCAGGTGAGGTCCCAGGGCAAGCGGAGTAAGAGGCTCGCCAAGCGCATCCTGAAGGAGGAGTGTAACCGGAGCGACCTGGCACTGTGGAGGGAGTTTGGCCATCTCGAGTGGCTGCTGGGCAACCTGGAGGAGGCCCGCAAGGTTCTGGATACGGCACTGGCACTGGGCCTGGTGCGGGGTTTCCAGGACCCCGCCCTGTGTGACCTGTGTCTGCTCTACGCCCAGCTGGAAGTGGAGCAGGGGGCTGGGCCTGCGGCCGGAACGGCGTCCCCCGCGCTGCATCTGCTCTCCAGCCTGGCCGAGGGTGGGACCTACTCCCACTTCAGCGGCCAGGTGCCACCCGTATCTGTCCTGAAAGCCCGGCGGACCTACGAGCAGGCCCTGGCAGCTGGGGGGGGCGTGGGGCTGGTGGGCTGCTTCGCCCTGTTTCAGTATCTGACTGTGGGGGTGGAGGCTGCGGACCAGGTGTACCGGGAGGCCGTAGAGCGGCTGGAGGCTGCGGAGGAGCCCCACCCACGACAGGACAGCCTGTGCCAGGCGGCCTCTGAGCTGGAGGCTCTCTGCATGTCACGTGCCTCCCTGCTACGTTACGCCATGAGCTCCAGCATCTGTCCCATGGGCCGTCTCCGTGACACCCTCACCTCCTCCATCTCCCGTTTCCCTGGCAACCAATATCTCTGGCAGCTGTACCTGCTGGCAGAGAGCCGGTACCACGGCGCTGGCCGCTCCCGCCGCTTCACCCGGGGCGTCACGCAGCGCTCGCCAGGCATCGTGCCCTGGTTGTTCACCATCCGTGCCGAGCAGAGCCTGAAGATGCTCGTGGAGAGCGTGCAGAAGTGAGTGCCGTCGCTATGGTTACCACTGGGTACCACTTCCGGGACCCGAGATGAGAATGGTCAGATAAAACCTCATGTCCTCTGACAGGAGCGATCTCTATGGGGACGTCCAGGCCACACTTCCAGAAAGCGGCCTCAAGCATCGGATCCGGGCGCTGTTCGAGAGTGCGGCGGCCAGCGAACATGGGGCACGCTGCCCCCTGCTGTGGAAGATGTACCTGCACTTCCTGGTACTGTCACTTGAAGGGCTCTAGCACCATCTTGCATGTGAATCTCATTCTTGGTGCGTGTTCGTAGGACACCTGCGGGCGTCACTGAGCGTTGTGGTTCTTTCCAGGTTTCCGAGAGGGAGATGGAGCGAGGCAGGGGCATCTTCTATAAAGCACTGCAGTACGTCCCATGGGTTAAGGTGAGGTGGCCGTAAACCCGAGCTTCCAAACCGGTGGAATTTCCAGGCTCTGTCAGGGTCTGACCGTCTTTCTCTTTCCCCAGAGCCTCTACATGGACGCCGTGTTGCTGTTTCCGGACAACGTGCAGGAGTTCCTGGACCTGATGCAGGAGAAGGAGCTACGGCTGCGGGTGCCCATGGAGGAGGTGGACATCTTGCTGGAGGACTGACCCTGACACACACACACACACACACACACACACACACACACACCCCCAGCCTAACTATATAAAGTGCCTCCGAGATACATGGACTAATGGACTAGCAGAAAGCTTGTGTCTTTTTTTTTAAAAGGCACAGCGTGTATGTTTATGTATGTATATGGAAATGTTGGGCCCTGTACAATTTGTACCGACTCTGAATTAATAAAGTCAACCCCGCCCCCCCCCCCCCGGGTTGTGAGTGATTCTCTGCCCGCCGCTGCCACCGGACCACTCCGCCCCCCCGGGGGACTCTGGGCTCCCTGTGTGAATAATGAGACGGGTGTAATGGAGCGAAGCGGGCCTCCTCTCCACTCCGGGCTCGCTGGCTGTCCGCGGCAGTGCGAGGAGGGGAGATCGGGGCAGCATGAGGATGAGGACGCTGTGCATCGTCTCGGCGCTGATTCTGGGGAGCGCCGCGTCCGTGTCGGCGGTGCCGGGTGAGTGGGGGCCGTGGGAGGTGTGGCCGTCCGCAGGGGAGTCGGCCTGTGATTTGCACTCTCTCTCGCTCGCTCCTGCAGATGATGAGTGCAACGACGAGTTCCCGGCCCGAGAGAACTGCGAGTTCGACGAGGTGTGCGAGGACGCGTTCTGCCGCCACAACGAGTACGTGACGTGTCACATGAACCGTTGCGGCACCTGCGAGGCCGTCTTCCGCGGCTACGACAACCTGACGGTCAGCTGCAACGAGCGTATGTGTCCCGGCCCGAGTCCAAGCAGGTCACCGAGCCACTACCCCTCACACGGGACGCCGTCAATCACAGGCCCTCCGCCCCTCTTACCCCCCCAGTGACCCCAAAGTGCCGCCTGATGCATCTGGAGATGTTGAACAAACGACGTACCGGTACTATCCTCCCCGGCGGCCGGCTGGATATCGAGTACGACCCCGAGTGTGACGAACACGGCATGTTCAAGCCTAAGCAGTGTGACGACGACTCAAACCTGTGCTGGTGTGTGGACAGCGCTGGTGTGCGGGTCACCGACAAGACCGGGGACGACCCCAAGTGTGACCGGCTAGTGCGAGTGCAGTGAGTACCACCGACTGCATTATGTACGACTTTACACTAAATATGTTTGTCTGTGCTCTACATACCTCGCTGCTGTATGTACAAGAATTCCCGCCTGGGATCAATAAAGTTTACCTCATCTAATCTAGTAAGCACGCAAATATTGTTTATTTTGGTGAGACGTCTAAACTGAAAATGACTAGAATAGTTATTGTTTGAAATCTGTCACATAAGTGAAATTTTAAGCAGAAACAGCCCTTTTTTTGATGCTTGTTTTGCTCCTGGGATCAATGCTCCTGGTGCTGTAAAAATAATCAGTGACAGACACTGGAACATAAAGACAGGCAGTGTACCAGACACTGGAACATAAAGACAGGCAGTGTACCAGACACTGGAACATAAAGACAGGCAGTGTACCTGTGGGTCACTCTCACACTGGGACAATTCACCCCCACTTTGTGTTTCTGCAGCCTCATTGAGATTCTGTTCACGTTCAAAGTGGAGTTCACCCCGCTGGCCAGGACCAAAGATGCAATACGACGGTAAAACACACACACACACACACACACACACACACACACACACACGCGCACACAGAGTGGTAATTATATCTTTGTGAGGACTGCTCATTCATTTCTATGGGTAAAATGCTAATGCTAGCTATGACAACCTTAACCCCTACCCTGCCCTAACCATGACCATAAGTAACTAAACAAAATACAAGTGTTTTTGCATTATTAGTTTTTTGATTCCAGTCAGATTTTTAGAAAATCTCCCTCATGGGGACCAGGAAATTGGTTAAAAAAAAAAAAAAAAAGGGTATTCATCACGTTGTGGGGACATTTGGTCGGCTTGCTTCCTATTTGTGGGTTTTGTACTTTGAATAGAGGCCTTTAACACAGTCATGGTGACAGATGCCTCTATGTTTCAGGCAGTTGGTCTTTAAGCTGGTGAAGGAGTACACACTGGACACCACACAGATACTGGAGATAAATGTGAGGGCTGCCCTTGTCCTTGTGCGAGTGTGAACCTTCTCTTGACATGCTCCCTCCCACAAGCAGCTGTCTGTGCCCCCTCCCCAGATCGAGGAGCGATCCCATGTTGTGTCCATCCGCCTCACGGAGAACGGAACCAAGGACCCAGTGGACGTGGCCACTGTAGCCCACTACATTGAACGCGATGTGAGAGGACTACTTAGTCACCGCTGGGACTGGAATTGAGACGTCATACGACATAAACGTACTGCACAGGTGGCTGATGCATGTGTAGTATTGCTATTAACTATGCATATAACCCCCATCCAGCTCAAAAACAGCAAATTCGGTCTGGAGGTGGATGGGCGGAGCCTGGAGGTGGAGCGGGACTCCATCAAGGTTCTGTTTTTCGACAACGAGCCGCCCCGCATGAACATGAAAACCATCTCGCCTGGCTTTGCTGCCATCATCATCGTCATCGCGTTGGCCATCCTCACTGGCATTGCCGTCTTTGTGAGTCTCGCCCCACCTTAGCCTACCCCCCCTCAGACCTAGGGCCTGTCTCACCCCCATCCTCGGAAGGCCGAGGACCCGTCGCACTAACTTTCCCCCATTTTCTGATGGTAGGTGGTGGTACGGCGAAGAGCTGAGCAGGAGAAGAAGAGATTCCAGTTTGAAGTCATTGAGGTAACAGTGGAGAGCAGAACAAACAGCAGACAGAAAATGTTTGATTAAAGCCTCAATCCTTTTTTACAAGGTTTTATATAAGGGTTTATAAACTCAGTCCTTTTCTAAAGGGTTCTATGTGTTTTTTAAATCATCTGTCTGCTACCTAAAAAGCCAGGTGTGGTGAATTAGTGTCCACCTGCTGGCAAAAACTGGAATTACAGTCTGCTAATCATTTCCCCTTTGTATTCCCAGGGTCAGGGGCAAGATGATTATCACATGGCACAGAGGGAGACCATGGCCTACTTTGTCATGTGATGTGCAATTCCACCATGCTGCTGTAGTCACTGACATGTTTTCAGTGGGATTGTAAGTGCCTTGTTGATATTAAGTGTAGTGCAGCTAATTTAATTACTCTGCTAATAGTATTTTATTTCAGAAAAATACATATTTAAAAGAAATTAAGATTGTTTTAGATGTCATTCAGTTGTACCATGCATATTCAGACGGGATACTGACAAAATGCACTGTGGATGCACCCATCTTCCAGTAGATGGCACTGTTGCACAATCATTTTGTAAAGTTGCAAAATTAGACTTTTGAAAGATGTATAAAACTTACATAATAGCTATGCTTTATATTTTGCACTGTTATACTGATAGGTAGAATGTTTTGAAATGCTATTAACAAGACTGTGTAAAAATGTTAATTCTACGGCTACTCAACGAAAAACAAAATACATTTGTTTCAGAAGACTGCCTTTCATGATTTAAACAAACGCAGCATTACCGTGAAGATTAGAACATGGCATTTTGAAATTAAATATTTATTTGTAAATTCAAAACTGAACCAGAAACAAATCCGACATGACCTGGAGTAAAAGGAATCGGGGAAGTAGCACAGGTTTCAGTACCCTCGGAGTGTGACAGGGGGCAGCAGAGATCAGAGGTAGAGCCCCTCCGGAGTGCCCTCTTGTTTCTTGTACAGAACGTTCTCCTTGGAGTTCTTGAAATCCTCGTTTGTGACCTTCATCCGACGTTCTCTGAGGGCCATCAGTCCGGCTTCCGTGCAAATTGCCTGCAAGAAGAAACGTGGGCGGTACAGGGACAGAGATTGGCGGTGCTGCCTGATGAAGCCTGGCTTCACAATCACAAAGGAAAGCGCGTCCACAGCGTAATGGGCGTTTTACATGTTTAGTAAGTTCTACGTCTAAGATGAAGGTTAATGGTCCAAAACAAACCGCATCATTAACCAATCCAGTTTAAATCAAAGCACCTTGATGTCGGCCCCCGAGAGGTCATCCTTAGCTAAGATGAGATCATCCAGTGTCACATCCTCAGCCAGGGTCATCCTGCCGGTGTGGATCTGAAAAATCCTCCTCTTTGTCTTCTCATCTGGCAGTGGGAACTCAATCTTCCGATCTATCCTTCCTGGTGGGGTTAAGGTCAGGGGGGGGGGTGGTGGGTAGAGATCTTATCTCCTCAGTTTTTGAGGAGGAGTACTGCGGAACTGTCAATGTCATATACCCAACGCTTTTTTTTTTTTTTACTCTATATACATGAAACCCCCAACATCCCCAATGAAGTAACCCACCTGGTCGGATCAGAGCGGGGTCAAGGGTTTCTATGCGGTTGGTGGCCATGACGACCTTAACGTCCCCCCGCGAGTCAAACCCATCAAGCTGGTTCAGTAGCTCGAGCATCGTCCTCTGGATCTCCCGCTCACCACCGGAATTGGAGTCATACCTGTGGGAGATGCCATGCTCAGTGCAGGCCACAAGCACCCAGCCCCCCAGCAGTGAGACTGACTGTTCCGTCAGTGTGTGTGTGGGAGAAAACGCGAGCAATCTGCCTACTGAGCTTCACCTTTTGGTGCCAATGGCATCGATCTCGTCGATGAAGACGATGGAGGGGGCATACTCCTCTGCCACCCGGAAGAGTTCCCGGACCAGCTTGGGCCCATCGCCAAGGTACTTCTGGATGAGCTCCGAGCCCACCACCCGCAGGAAAGTGGCTGACGTCTGGTTGGCTACTGCCTTGGCCAGTAGGGTTTTCCCTATGACCCAGAAATGCAGACGTATAAAAGAAAAAAACAGCCTTGAGTGTCCTCAACTTGCAGCTACGGTGTGCAAATCCGGCTGCTGACCATGCGCCCCCCCCCCCTCCCCGAAAGCCCCATTCACCTGTTCCAGGAGGCCCGTACAGAATAACCCCTTTGGGGGGCTTAATCCCCATCTCTTCATAGTACTCAGGGTGGGTAAGTGGAAGCTCTACTGACTCCTAGGATGACAGGTCAGGGATCATGTGATCATGCTTGGATGGTCATACTAACTACCACATTTGAAAAAAATTGTTAGTACTACATCTCAAAAAAGTGGCATTAGCTTTGACTGGCTCTTAAATTAATCATTTTTATACAACAGAATATTTAATGAACCTCGGCAACATCTTTATCGAATATGGAACTGTTTCACAAAATAGGATTTCTTACTTAGCTGGATAACTTGTCGGATTTAAGGTAGTCTGGACTAAATGGACTTTCTTTGTTCAGTTAGATTTAGCCCATGCTACCTTAAATCAGACAACTTATCCGGCTAAATTCCTGCTTTGTGAAACGGGCCCCAGAACTTAACCATGCTATGTGTGTGGGATAGCTTCTCAGCCTGAGCACCTTGATCTCCTGGATCTGGCTGTCCAGACCTCCAATGTCACCGTAAGTCTCCTGAGGAGCCTTCTCCACTTTCATGACTGTCACCAATGGGTCTGTATCATCCATCAGCACTCCAATTACAGCGTGGACCTGTCAACAAGCCAATGTATCATTCCCTCACCAGCCAATCAGCACAATCAGCAGCAGACTACTACACAGGGTGGGCCGGTACCTTGTGGTTGAGCAGCACAGAGCAGCCAGGCTCGAGCAGGTCCTTGTCCACAAAGGACAGGATGCTGACATAGTGCTCTGACCCCACAGATGTGGACACGATGGCGTGGTTGTCATCTATGATCTCCTCCAGCGTCCCAACTGACATGGGAGATCCCCGCAGATCATCAACCTTTGACCTCTCCTCCTGTACACGTTGAGCAGGATGTCAGTTACCAAAGGTTTGAAGATCCATAGCAGAGACTGATTTCAAGGCTTTGAAGCAGAACCATAACCATAACCACCTCCTGCTTCTCCTCCAGCGGTTTCATCTGTTCCTGGTTCCGGATGAATTCCTCCTCCATCAGAAGGTAGTCTTTGATCCTCTCCTGCTTCAGCAGCTTCAGGCGGCAGTGGCTGTGAGGGGTGACTGTCAGAGGACACAGAAGAGGTTACTATATTCCAAGTCAATCCCAGGGATCAATTCCATCCCAGCCTGCACCCTTGTGTACCCAAAGGCAGCCTGCTAGCACTGTCTGGCCCTTTCGACTTCCTCTTCTTCTTCCCCACTCTAGTCGGAATTGGTGGTTCATATTTCTTCTTCTTCTCCTAAAATTACACTCACAAATTAGAAAATGTACTGCAGTGTCTTCCACAGAGATGTTGTCATGATAAAAATGGGTACTTGGATGGGCAGAGAACAACTCTGGATAAGCTCACCTTGTCATCCTTCTTTCCTCCGCCGGGCCCATGGCCTCCACTCTGACTCTGACCCTGTTATATATTCACAGGCACAAAGCCGGACGAGTTAACATTTTAGCCTCAGCCACACCGCGCATATTCACTGCTGCTTCAAAAAGCTGCATTACCGTGGCCCTGAGCCGCCTTGCTGGACTTCACAAGCATGCGGCCCGGTGTATTTATAGTGACATGCTCAACAGATCCAATGACGAAGGAATAAACAGCAAGCTTCTGTCACACCATTATACCGCTGGGCAGGGATGTCTCAAGTGAGCCAACAAGCAAACGTAAATCCTGAGGCTTTTAACGTGGATCACTGCGTGGTTTAAAAACTGACATGCACGACACATGATGATATGAAATGACGGGGAAATCGGTGTATAATAACGATCAAAACACACAGTTAAAACAGAGATAACAGAACGCTGTCTCACCATCCCGAACGGCTGTATTGACGGTCTGTGACGTTATGGTACGGCAACTAGATTGGGCCAAACCGCACAAGAAACATAACGCGGATGGTAAATTGTTTCACAGACTCAAGGAGCATTGCTGAAAATGTAGTTTCCTGTCATTTAATGGCGTGTGGATAGTTTTTTTCCCCCTTTTTTACCCAAGCATCCGTGCAAGTGAGGGTTAATTGAAAAGTCTGAGCACTGTGTTGTTTCAATTGGATAATGCAGGAACAGAAAACTTGGTATAAACACGTTTTCATCAGTGAGCAAGCAGGATTCATAAAGTAAGTTCGTACCACTAATTTGCTTTAGTTGCGTTTAGTTTACGCTCACTTTGATTTTTAGACTTTGAAACATGTTTAAGTAATATATAATGTTTTAGTGATCCCAAAGTTTTATTTAGTGTCCTAAAATTTTGCTTCATTAGATTTATTTTCTAAAGTTTCCATACATTTGGAGGCTCTTGGTATGAGAGTTACTTGATAAATGATTAATTTGTCAGTGCGTTTATGTACTGTTCAGTTTGTGTCACTGTGGAGTTCAAGTCATGGTGCCTATTTGGACTTCACGTGTGTGTGTTTGATTTGCTTGGATCACCTCTGTATTCCTGATATTTTTCCCCCACTCATTGTAAATTTAGATATTTGGTCTGTGTTGTCACATAATGCATAACCATAGGCATTTATGCTGTTGTAACTGTCTGCTTCTGCTCTCTTCTTTACATCTTTTACTAAGATGTCAGCCTTTCTTTATTCTCCAGATTACCTTCATTCCTCCTTCCCGCTCTCTGTTCTTTTAAAGACGCGCCGAATGTCATTAGTTTTTCGCTCCGTACATAGGCGATTTTAGCGGGGGTGTAATTGCACCCCCTGTTGGTTAGAAGGAAATGCTATTTGAACGTATCCAGTCTGATGTGCACAGCGTGTTAAGGTCTCAGCAGGGGCTCTTTGTGGGGATTTCAGCAAAGACAGCTATGTGGAATTTGTATGTGTGTTTCTCTGAACTTGCATTGGGGTCACTTACTAACAGAGATTACCTGCCCTATGTGAATCACTCGTTAAGATCCAGGGGCTTCCTTAAACATCCAACCACACCTGAGAGCCTTCTGGTTACGTGGAAGAGAGTCAGCATCAGGCTTGAGCGGTATTAGAGTAACATGGTACGTCGTGGTATTTTGGTAATCTTAGTGAGTGGGGGAGGGTGGGATGGTGCCCCACGGTAAAAATTGTCGTTCGGCAAAATATATCGTGGGAGAATCCCTCCCCCAGCTTGGCAAATTTTTCCGGCAAGATTTCACAATAGCAAAGAAGCGTTGCTTTTGAAAATACCATCAAAACGCAGACCGTGGTATAATGTCTGGGTGATATAACGGTATGAAAAATTTATATCCCATCCAAGCCAGTAACCCGGCCAGCAACCCACCACTTTTAACAGTAGTTCAGGCATGGGGGGGTAGCCTGTGTGTTTTCATTGGTATGCCGATTTACCTGGTGAGTGGCTACAGTTTGTGACGCAAGTAATGGCTCAGGAAAGAGTTTGAGACTGGAGGAGGGACACAATTTATTATTTTAAATGCAGAGGTCTGTTTATTGGGGGGGATGCATGAAGCCAAATTAAACGTTTGGGGGGGTCATGTTCCCCCCCCCCGATTCCTACGTCCCTGACGCTGGTTCCATCAGCCCCGCCCTTATGCAGCTTGTCATTTAGTCTGGAAAATCTGTTGCTTTGGGCGTAGGGTGTACAGCCTGTAGCGATGGCACTGACCTGACAAGTGGTTTTCCAGACATAAATGAACAGGCAAATTACTGAGTATTTCTCAAGTACCACATTACTGTGTGTTGCCTGGGGACAAACATTTGCTGCTGGGGAGGGGTGGAGGTCGTCCGAGTTCACCGTAAACCAGGCTGACCGCAGTTTAGCTGAAGTGTCTTATTTCGTGTGTGACAGATCCCACAGCTGCATAAAACACAGTAACACTATGTACGGTCTCTCTAACAGAAGGGGTTTAAATGCTTTGAGGTTTGAGGACTGGCTGTTACTCATAATGTCTGCCTAAAAGAGAAAGGCTGTCTCGCACTGCTTGACCGTGTGTGTGTGTGAGGCACACCTGATGTTCTAAAGCTATGCTGAATGGTGTCGTAGGATTTCAGGGCAAACGCAGCGTGTCATAGCTTCAGGAAATCAATACACGGCTGTGTTTAGAGCATTCTGAAGTCTGTTTAGGACAGGACTGATACCGCAGAGCTCCGAGCAGATGACGTAGGGGGATACACACGGTGGGATTCAACTTGCGTGCTTCGCCTGGTGTACAGACGCGCGTTCGGCATCTGCGGCTGGGACGGCGTGATTAGACGGTGCTGCGTTATCACCTCTGCAGGCCCGGTCTGCTTTCATGACCGTGGCTGTCACTACGCAGGTGCATCTTTCAAAGAGCCTGAGAATCTCCCGCTTTTGATGTCCTTCATCATGCATTATTCAGCGGCGGCGCTCCACGTCGATCCAGCCTGCACCTTTTAAACACCTTCCTTCCCCTCGCTCCTTTTTAAATGCAAACGCACCCCTGCCCCCCCACCCCAGGGCATTTTTTTTTCTTGTTTTTTCTTCATATTCTCTGGTAAAAGAGGTTGTTTGAAAAGGCCCCCAGTTGAAGCCTTGCTCCTTGGATCCCTGGCAGGTCAGGGGGGGGGGGGTTCTGGTTTGTACCAACAGGATCCAACAGGATACAGAGGTGTAAACACTGTGCTTGTTTCACTCATACAAATCACTCTCAGCTTACATCATAATAAATTCATTAACAACAACATGTGACATTCTGAGTGCACATTTCTGACCAGGTTTCACCGAGAGCAGGGGACCGGACGTGGGTTCTGGGACATTTAAGCACGTGTGTAACCGATGGGTCTGCTGTACTGAACGTGAAAGCTTATGCCTGTTTCCGTAATTTCCAGGTAATGAGGGAGCAATGCTAAAATAGATGTGTGTAATGGACGGGGAAATCAGTTTTCAGGTTTCTCTCTTCCATCGGTCTCTGTGTTTTCCTGTAAGCAGGGGATGGGAAACAAACCGCAACATATGGTTTCGTCTCGGATCTCATTTTCTGCCAGACGTGGAACAAGATGTTCTGCATAGTGGGAAAGAGCCTGATTAATAGAGCAATCTGTTAATTATACAGGACGGATTCTGTTTGGTTGTTGGTAGAAAAGGTCGCCGTCTTTCTGAGAATAATTTTTCACCGTGTATGGTGACCTCGAGCACAGTTGATGCCTAATTTCTACAGCCTCCTGCATTTTCATGTAAACAGACATTTTTCGTGTAAATACAGCTGAAAGTCTGAACTCCCCTGGGGTGTTCAGTCTGTAAACAACATGAACCCTTAGAGACAGAAGTCCGGCAGTGACGAACCAAAAAGCCAGGTGCTCAGTTAGTCAAATCTGAACATATGGCCCCCTGTGTACAGCCTGTGGCTTCACTGCTATTAGTGCAACACCTGAATCACATGACCCCCAAGCTGCCCTAAGCCCTCAGATCTTGTTGCCCACAGCCATGTCCCAAGCTCATCTGTCCTCACTGGTTTCCACTAGCCTGTTATTCATGATGGCCAGGGCACCCACCCCCCTGGAGAAGCCATCGTTTTGCTCAGTGGACGAAGACTGGGCCTGGTGACCATTAGCCGCCTCCGACAGGTGCTTCTGCATGATGGCCAGGGACACCTTGTTGGCCACCAGGAAGTCCCTCATGGAGATCATCTCCCCTGACATCCGCCGGCCATCCAGATCGCTCTCATTGGCTGCGTCCGTCTCAACGGAGAGGTCGCGGCGGCCACGAGGCTGACTCGGCACCACCAGGTTCCGCCGTCTGCGAAAGCCGTTGCCAGGGCAGCAGCGGGCGCCGCCGCATGGCCGCCGCAGGGCGCGCAGGATCCAGTTGAGCACCTGCTTGATGACGATAGAGATGACGTTGAAGAGCGAGTAGATGCAGCAGACGCCGGCGAGGATGAAGAGGAAGTTGCCCAGTCGGTAAGCGGACTGGTGCTGATAGAGCGGCCGTTGGCTGCTCACCAGGTCCCCAAAGCCGATGGTGCTGAAGGCCACGAAGCAGAAGTAGAGGGAGTCCATGTAGCTCCAGCCCTCGATGGCGGCAAACATGGCGGAGGCGCAGCAGGAAATCAGCACCGCCCCCAGGCAGAGGATGAGCATGACACAGTAGACCGAGGGCTTCCACCCCGCCGGACCACCCCTGGTCGGCTCGCCGTCCTTACTCCGCATCTGGTAGCAGGCCTTCAGAACCAGGGCCAGCACCGTGATGAGACGCTCCAGGAACAGGTTGAAGAAGAGGATGGTGGCCGCACAACCAATGAGCCCATAGAAGATGAGGAAGATCTTTCCTCCGACGGTGGCGGGGGTTGTCATGCCGAAGCCTGGAGTGGAAAAGGAAAAAGCTCATGAGAGTTTTACTTACACAAACATGTTCTGGGGGCAAAAGGAACAATGATTGGTTCAGGGAGATGACCACTCAAATTGTAGAGAAGGTGGGTCCAAGCAGCTACAGGAGACAGGACCAACCAGTCAGATGTTTTGGTCCTGCCTCCTCTAGTTGCTTAGACCCACCTCCTTAAAACGGGAAACTGTGTGCTGTCAGCGCGTTGATACACTCCTGTGGAGATGTGTCACAGTAGCGGAGGTATGGGCCAAGGCCGCCTACGCTACCAGCTTTAAGCTGCATAACGGCTGTTTCTAAAGTTAATCGTTTCTAGCTAATTAAAAGGAACTGTAATTTCAATCTAATTGAAGGGTTGACTACAGGAGCCGAATCGGCTCTCCAGCGAGTGGTGAGCTGTTCATAGCCCCCCCCCCCCCACCTCTGCATGATGGAGGAACCTGTCATCAAGCTTGCGGGTCTAGCTGAGGGCCAGTTCGCTTTCATGGCTCGTTAGGATGCTTGGATCCATACACGCTAATGAGGGACGCCCTAATGAGGGCCGTCACTTAGCCGCTAGACATCCGAGTCCTGGTCAGGTTGCCATTGGTGACGGAGCTAATGTCCCCATGTTACAGATCTTCCCCGTCTCTTGCTGACAAAGATGCAAATAATTGTGGGGGCTTCTTCACACCTTGTCTTAGCTCTGCTCCCTGAAGATGAAAAAGCACTATAGGCTTGAACCCTTCGAACGACGGCAGATCTCTCTTTGCTTTCCAAGATCTCTACCAGCGCAGATCTTGGGGGAAGCTGACTATCACAGTGCTCGAGTAAAGCTCTCCGTGCTAGAACCAGGTTGGGTGGAGGCCATGTCCAAGTAACCAGGCCCACAGAAACCTATCTGAGGGCTTTTATGTTACACTATTAGTGCTGTTAGCTCAGAGCTTGATGGGTTGGCACCTGTTTAAGTGGTATTGATGCTTTCATAGGGGAGCAGTTTATGACTCTTAATTGAGCTCCCCTGTCGTGCTCCTGTGTGCTCCCTGGATTTTCAGTAACACAAGTTTCAGTCCATGACCAGAACACCAGGGTACAGACATGCAAAAAAGTTGGACTTCAGCTTTTCAGCTTGAGTCTTTGGCATATCTAAAAATGCTCTACATTTTCTGTATATACTGGACTAATGGCAAACTTCTGAGTTTAAATGGGGCCACCTAGTGACATTGGCAATACGCAGAAATAAAATTGTGAATGTTTTCAGCCTTAAAGGGTGTCAGCCTACTTGACCGGTACGTTTCACCTGCTGTTTAACAAAGAGCGTTTTTGGGTTCCTTGTTCCTGGAAGCAGCTGTGACAACAACCTGCTTGGGGCTGAAATTAAAACAAAAGAGGAAAACACAGTGGGACTGTATTAAGCCGTAAAAAGCAGAACCACTAACACAAAGAGTAAATAATAATTTAACATGGGCATTTTTCAGTGGCTCAGGCTGCTGATGTATTTATAAATCGGCCTATAAATGTCCTGATTTCTTCCCATTAAAGATCTTATCTTGTTGAAAGGATGATAGTTCTACCAGCCATTTCTGTTCACTGACCATACACCGAATGAATTGGGAAACAAGTGTGTTATGTATATATTATGTTTTTGGGGAGCAAATGTCGCCACAATATAATAAAAACCTGTTACTTTGACGTTGGGACCATTTTATCAGTCATCACAAGGGGAAACTCAAAAAAAACCTGTGATTGCAATCAAAAAAACAAAAAATTCCAAAAGTCTTGTATTTTATTTGGTTACTTATGGTTAAGGTCGTCATGTTGGGATTAGGGATTTTCCCACAGGAATGAATGGACAGTTCCCACAACAATATGAATACAAATGTGTATGTGTGTGTGGTGTTTGGAGTTTGCATGTTCTTCCCATTTTGTGTGGATTTTCTCCAGGTACTCTGTAACGGACTTGCATCCCATGGAGGGTGGACTTCTGCCTTATGTCCTGTGTTTTTTGAGTGTGGCTCCAAGCTGTTCCTGGGCCTGAAGCAGTTATGAATGAATAGATATCTTAATGATAGCAAAAATATGTAAAAGGGGGGTAACGCTTCACGTTAACTGCACCTGCATTCATAGAACATTCATAAACAGCATGTAGGTATACCTGAACATCTTAGTATATCTTAACAGCTTTAACATACATTAATAACAAACATTATATGATCATAGTGATCGCTGTTATTAATGTATATGTTGTTATAGTATGTTAGGATGTTAAGGTATAATTGCTGTTTATGAATGTTCCACGAATGCATTATGAAGGCATTATGAAAGAGCAGTTATTGTAAATTGTTACCAAAAAGGATACAGTCCTGGTTCAGTTTTGTTCCCCAATGTACAAACAACATGAATGTAACCAGATGGTACAAAATATTTCTCGGAGTCCATTTCTGTACCTTAAATTAGACTAAAACACTTACCTACAAATAGGGTACAATTGGCAGACCCTTGAGGATTTGTTTTCTGACAGTGTAGTGCTGACCGAGTTAATCTGAGGTTGGCTATACCTTACAGGCTCGGTGCAAACTCCCGGTACCCACTTGTGTACAGATATGCGGTTTGTACCGTCAAAGTCAGGAGCCAGCTGTGTAGTCGTCACTGAGGCTGACTTTATCAGTTCCGCTGGGGGTGTCCGGTCTAGCAAACGTCCCTCTCCACCTCCAGCCCACCCTCGGCTCTTTAGCTTAACGCTGTTCGCGCGGGTGGGGTTTGTCTCTCAGAAGCGCATCACCCTGCAGTAGAGCGTCACTAAAATACTACTGCTGCTAATGTCTCAGTGGCCCTGTTCACTCTGTGGTGTCTAATTGGATCAGTTATTAAAAATAATTAATTCAGGCTGCATTAGGTACCCTTTGAACATACTCTTACCCATAAAAACTGGTTTCTGTCCCTTGTAAAAAATAAGGACTGAATTACGCACACAGCCAAGCCTGACACTGAGAAGAGCTTCGTTTTTTTTTTTTAGCGTAGCTTAATTAGCATTAAGGGCTGTGCTTGAACTAACTGCATATATTCCTGCTTTAAGTATAATGCCTTAATTCAACTGTTTTTTGTCTGCATATAGTTATAAATAATAATCTATTAGTTAAATTAACTAAATAAAAATACGTTATATTACAATAGGCTCTAAATATTATTCATAATTTTGTACGCCGATTTTTACGCACAGGCATAAATATTTGCTTTTAGCTTGCTCGAAGAAATGAAACGTTTTAAGGATTTCACTTGAAAGCAAACGACATTACCGATAGTGGAGACCACGGTTCCCACGAAGTAGAAAGCTCCGGTGAAGTCCCAGCGCGGTCGGAGCGCGTCCACCCGCACCCCTGCCAGGTTGGCCTCCTCGTAGAACCTCAGGAACTTCTCCAGGTCGCCTCTGCTCAGGTTGTGCTTTGAAGTAAAATGCTCAAAGCGCTGCGCCCACTTCTCCTTGGCCTGTTTCTCTTTGGGCTGCTCAAGTGCTGAAAAGACAGCGGCTCCGCACAGAAGGTACAGGATAATGAGCAAAGCCAGCAGGAGGAACCTTGCGTTGTCTTCGTTTAGCGGACCCAATCCACAAGAGCAGGCACTGCGACAGGCCATTATGCCGCCACCGCTGACATGAGTCCGCAGCGTGTCCGCATGCTTGGGCTTTCTCTGACAGCTGGCCGTCCGCGGCAAGACCGGTGTCTGTGCGTGCGATCGCCAACTTCCACAATACTAGGCTACTTCCACTATAATATTGAACCCGTTTTTGAATCCACTGCGTTTTAAATAGGGCTCCTTTTCTTTTTACAAATGCAAAAATCGTTGGGGGGAAAATTCTGAAGAAGCAGAGTTAGTCGTGAGTTTAACAGGAATACCGAGAGTTTGATTTGCGTTGCGCACGTTTGGAAAGTAGTTTACGGGTAATTCCTTTCAGGCTAGTGATATCCGAAATTCAGATCCTCCGGAAATAAATATAATCCTCGGTGGTTCTGAGATCCACACTCTCCATCGCTTCATGTTTGCAAATAGCAGTGCGAAGAAAGAGCAGTAATCCTGCGCAAAATCCATGCGAGATGTGTCACGAAAGCCCTGGTTTTGTAACGTAAAAAAGAAAGCGAAACATTGTCCTGACAAATAGTGCATCCTCCGTCTTCTCATTTCTACGCGTAAAGAGCATGAATAAATTAGAAACGACGCCTCAGATTTATTCCTACGCCGTTAAAGAGTGGTTACCGTGTGTTTAATCCTACCTTCGGTACGCCGTTGTTCCAGCATGAAATCACCCTTTAGAGGCTCTTTTCTTAACTCGTGAACTTTCCTCTGGTCCGTCAGGAATCCCGATCAGATGTTAGCGCTACGGAGGGAGACTCGGGGCAGTGCTCAGCCTTTCACCTGCTGCTGGGTCATTATGAGAAAGCGTAATGAGAAGCGTAATCACACCCTAAACAGCCTGTTTATGGACGAAGTGCGCATCGTTCGTGGGACCAAGGAATTCCACGTAAAACTTGTCACCACTTTACCTGTTAGTCCATTTTAAGGGTTATTTTTCTTAAGGCATCCACAAATCTATAGATTTCAATTGTGCCAGATACCTAATTGTAGCCTAAATCGAAAGGCAACGTCGCCTTCCTTAAACACAAAACCTACCTACACACACAAAATCGACCTACAGCAAGTATAGCGACTTTGGCATATAACCAGCGCATTACCCTACATTAATCGTACGTTGTAATTTCATAGTTAAACCCCGCTGTCCTGCCCTTAGCACACAAAGTAAATAAGAGGCGCACTGTCCCCAGCTTGACGCAAACAGTAATTTTCCGATTCTAACCTGTTTCTCGCGAATGTCCCTGCTTCTCAGTGTAATGCCAGAAACAGTCACTTCGACTGAAAGTCTGTTGTTATTAATCTTAACCGTGGGCCAGGTTTTAAATGAATTACATTTTCCTTAAAAATAGTTTCAGGACAGTTTTAATTTTTTGAGCGAAAAGAGTTTGTTTAGGCTACTAAAACCATGTTATCCATTTGTTAGTGTGCCCGTATAGTAATTACAAATAAACAATTTAATTCCGGGGAGGGCTTTTTCTGTTTGGTATTCAGTATCCATAACGCTGGTTATATTCGGTAGTTACGCATATCAGTCCTTTTCCCACGTAAAATATGTCGGAGTCCCGTAACAGCAGCTCATACTGCGTGTAAAATTGTTAGAGGAAGGAAGCAGTGTCCGACACAATACGATGTGTTCAGACAAGCGAAACCTACACGTATCACATTTCGGAAGACTTCGGCATTCCTGGTTCAGCTGGCGGCGATGTGTTGTGCGCCACCCACACCTGACCGATGCTCGGATGATAGTTCGGCCGAACGCTGAAGCCCAGCAATCTCAAAGATAGCAAGATTCCGGGTGACCCCTCTGATCGGCCGACAGGTTTCCAGATTTAAATCCGTAACACGCAGCAACTGATTTGCGCAAATGTTACGTTTTCGCATCGCAGAGAGATCCCTTCATTACGCTGGCACCGCCACGTTTCTCTAATGTCATAACGCAGAGACAGTAACGTATCAACCGCAGCGCGTTTGGCTCTGAAAACGCGTCACCTTAACCAGGGTTGCCGACTTTATTCAGCTGGCTGGAGTGAGATTTTCGAGGCAAGTCCTGCACAAGTAAGGTTTGCAAACTACCCCAACTCTTTTGATGTATCTAACTATAGGTTTATAATGGAATAATATCGATTGGCCATAAGATTTCTTGGGCGAGCATAAGAGTCTGAAAGTGCGAGTGTCACAACAGATGTGTCAGAGCTGCTATGTCTGACTACTTCTATGGCAAAGAACTTCAATCTAACAGTTGCCGTCTCCTTTATTAATTGTACCAAGATGATCTTGAACAGTTAGAGCCACTTAGTGTGAAGGCGGCTGCTGCAAACAAACAGGTGGGTCTATGACTTTCAACACTGTTTCTGATCTACTAAAAGAAGCAGAAGCCTGTAACTATTTTGTGCACATAAAAATGGCCATTTATTTTGTTTCAGAATGATAAACAGTGGGTCATTAAAAAAAAAATAATACAGCAGAATAGGTCCCCTAAGGGACTAGCTTAAAAAAAAAAGCAGTGAGTATAGGTGAACTGCAGTGACACCGTCCTGAGTCCTCCAGTGCTGAACATGGATCCAGGTCAGGATGGAACCCACACATTCCCATGGGTGTCCGGGGCCTGCGTGTGGGGAATGTTCCAGATCCAAGGCTGATCTGAAAATGCGAGAGAGGCCTTGACAACCGTAACCATGTGAAGCAAAATGCCGTGGAAACCTTGGATGTGGCATAAGATACATATTTAACAGACTTTGTTTCAAGTGTGGATAAGTCTGCTGTATTCACTGCAAAGTTCATGCGAATGTAAACCATAGTAATGAGGTAAGTAAACGGCACCCTGAGCTCCCCTGGCGAGTGGGAAACGTAAAAGACGGTCGAGCTTAGCCCTGAGCTCTGGAGGACCCCAAATCTGCGGGATCAGAAGGAACAGAACCCGTGAAACATGAAGAGGAGAGCAAGAGCAGAACCGGACTTGTTCATGGCATGGCCTATAGGCCCACACAGAGAACTAGTGTCCATGGAAACAGCCACTGCAAAGCTGGGCATGGCCCCGGGGGGGGTGGGGGGGGGAAGCAAGATCAGTCAGCTCTGGAAAAACTAAATTAGCAAAGCAACATATCTAAATGGGGCTGGGGGCAGTTATGATGGAGGGATGAGGCGCTGTGTACAGTGCTGAAGGAAATGAGACTCGTGAGTTTATAGCTCCATAGGGACTACAAACTGTGCTCATGCAGTGTCACTAAGGGTGAGTAATGTAGTTATTTTACTCCTAGATTGACTTCATGTACGTCTGCTACCACTGGTGTAGCCCTAAAACCCACCACACTACCTGACCTCAAAGTGTTTCCAAAGCAAACCGCGTGGATCACCTGAGACAAATCTCCAATTCAGCCCGAAAACCAGCATGACTCGGCTTCTCTTTTCACGCCTGTCTGATTTATTTAGGTCAAAAGCAGTTACTGGTTTCATTTAACATTAATTTACTTTGGTTAGGATGTACATTATCCCTTTTACTAAAGCAGTGTCAACAAGACTAATCAAAAGGACATGCTTCTTTGATGTCTGTCATGGAGAATTGCAGCTATCTCACCGTTACTTCCGTAGCGTTGGGGAGGAAGGTCAAAGGGCACTGGAAAAGAAGTGGAGGGGCCAGTAGCGGGAAATGGATTCTTCTGGACTCGAAATGTTTTCATGTTCTTGAAGACAAAATGATACAGAATTTGTTTACATGCAAACGCTGGAGATGTCTACCAGTGAACTTCAGTGAAGCCGCGCTCTCTCTGTTTGGCGCTGATAGCCTACACATCTCGTAGGGGTGGGTGACTGTTTATTCTGGCTTATGTTTACAAAGACCCTCTGAATTTAACACAGCCTCCTGCAGGCACAGAACCTGTTCTTGAGCGGCTTTACAGTACATTCCTGTTCCAGCTGTTGTTTTAATTAAGTGCAATTGACGGTCGGCTGAGTCTGTGCTCGTCGAACACTGAGGGGATACTCACAAACGCAGAGGGCAGGAACAGCACTCCCAACTCGTAGGAACGCACCATCATCTGGGTGCTGTTCTTCTCCAGGGCACCCCAGGCCGCTTTGGACAGGTTGGCACTGGGGGGGGAATCGTTGTGACTGACGATCTCACACAGAGAACCAACACATGAGGAACAGTGAGACGGCCACAGGAGGCCGACCGGGAGGTGATTTGGTCGAGGCTCAAACTGGGCAACTCTCTCTGGGTCCCTCTGAAGCTACACTAAGGTTTCAGGTGTCTGCTGGTCGCTAAGCTACATGTGATCTGGTCTGCATCTGATGTGGCTTTCATCTTCATGAAAGAGCGTTTCTAATGTTGAAGCTAGCTCAGTCTGCAAGGACCACGGAGCCACAGGGAGGTGGAGCAGGAAGGTGTGGTGGCCCAGAACTGATTAACCCCTCAGTGCACCATCGTGACCTTTCCTCATGCTTGGCCATGAGATTGAGCATCCATAACTGGAGGTGTGGGCACACTCATTCCACACTGCTAATAAGGGATGCTCAGTGACACACTTGTCCAGGAATGTTTAATAGTATAGCAGTCTATTTTTATGAATGAATGGGGTGTGTATGGAGTTGTGATGGTTGACCTCCAGTTAATCTCTGATATCGGGGGGTGTCCCTAACCCAAACAGACATGTTTGTGATTTTTAAGGGCTAACCCTAACCCTCTTGGAATGTCAGATTATAGATAGGGACCGGGCTTTGTGCTGTTGACTGAACCCAACAGCAACTGGTACGGGAAGAGGTCTCTGACTCTCACTCAAAGCAATTTCTGCACGTGCCGAACAGAAGTGTTACGGTGCTCATGGGAGGCTGACATAAATGGAACCTAGTTATGACACTGGCTGCCTGGCAACGGTTGCTGAGCGACAGGGCCACACGCACAACATGCTTGGAGGATACACGCCTGTATGTTTGCTTGCAGGACCTTTTAAGGGTTTTCTGGTCTGGGAAAACAAAGGCTGAAGTTTGTCCGAGCGTGTTTCTCAATACTAAGAACGCAGACCGTACTTGTGGTCTTGGCAAGACTAGTCTTGCTAACTTGCCTCCCAAGAATGAACGTGGGGCGCAATGAATCATGGGATTGATCTTTTCTGTTAAGGATGCAACCAATGTATCCTTGATATCCAATTGGTCCCATACTCAGCGTACTCAACAATCTAAAGCTTTGAAGATGAAGTGTATACACACTGGTGATGAATTCAGCTGGGCTCCTGTCCTCATCATCTACAGCAGGAACATACTCAGTGCTGCTGTGTCCGGGGCAAGTATGGATCCACTGCTAAAGGAGGATTTCTGCTCTCACTGGCATTATCTCCCAGGCTGCAGCCCTGGCAGACCTTTCGGTTCAGCCCCCCAGGACCAAACGCAGCTGGCGAAGGCTAGACCGAGTACTGGAGATCCGATTCAAGACCCCCCCCCATTCCACCGACTCCCTGATGGTGAGGTACCCAGAGAGCCCACCACTTCTGGCCTCTTCCAAACGGCAGCAGCTCTGAGTGCGTCATGCGGACCGGCGTGAGGGCCTTACCTGGTGATCAGGAACCAGGCCAGCTCGGTGAAGTCGGGCGAGGCCCTCATGAAGGTCTTGATATGGGGCATGGCGTGGCTTCGACCCGTTCCCTTGGCGATCCAGCGGCTACGGCGCACATGCCAGAGAAGCCATGATCGTTACCATCTCCTGTCGTACCTTGTGGCCCACGCTCCCACAGGGCTGCTCCATGCACACCAGCCTTTACGGCGAATCTCCTAATATCTTTACTGGATGCTTGTCGTGTCCCGAAAGCCACCGTCGGACAGCCGTTATACTCACTGTAAGTAGGAGTGGAGCCAGAGCTGCCGCTGGGCTGTCTGGATGCTGTAGGGCAGGGACCCGCCGGCTGCGGGGAAGGGAGAGCATCAGGGGGTGGGGGTGCAGCCCCTGTGAGCGCAACACCTAGCATCACCTGGCCGGCAGCAGGTGGGTGTACCTGGGTAGCCTTCCAGACTGGTCCTCACGTTGTCCACGGATGGATACACCTGGGTGGGGGATTCACAGGCTATTTCCACAGCTTTATTGCTAAAAACAAGTTCAGTATCCCTAACTGGCCTGATTGCCATTCTAGGACCTGGGGGGTGTTCGTTCATGGATTAAGACATCCAAGATAAAAGGACTCATCCTGGATCATCTAACTGTGGATATGGTTATCCAGCTATTTCAATTCTTCAAAGCCGCTGGAGAATTGGATTAGCCAAGATGGATTAAATGATCAGAGATAATTGCGCGCTTCCATAAACAATGAAAGTGAGGGTGTCTATTTTCACCTACCTCTTCCCTATTTTTTGGGGACTTTGCGGGCTCTGTAAGAATTGCATTCTCGCTTTCGATATTATTCGATATCTAGTATGGCTGCACAAATAATTGTAAAGTAAAAAAAAAACGCGATCTTGATTCACACCCCTATGCAATCTCATTTCTAAATTAGAGGTTCTTCTGCATTGTACTCAAGCACTCCATAATTCTGCATTCTCTTTAAAGGGTAATTTCCACCATACCAGGTACCTTACTTTTGGTACTTCAACAAAGAAAGCGTTTCAAGTCCCACCCCAAAGTACTGAAGTACCAAAGAAGTACCCCACTGGGCCTTTTGGTACTGAAATGTTTGGACTGGCTGTTTCGGTTACCCTAATCGAACGGGCAATTGAGCGTTTCCTTTCTGTTGTCAGAAGTTGATATGCCGGTCCTGGATCAATCATATATTTGGCAGTCATGTTTTGTCGTTTCCTTTTGCAGTTTAGTTCAATAAATGTTTAAATTTAAGAATAAAAAAATCACTACAGAGAATCATGATCTCAATTCTAAGCAAAAGAATCATGATTCACATTTTTTTCTGAATCGTGCAGCCCTAATATCTAGTTATATGTCTTGTTTATGTCATGAAACATGATACTATATATTTATTACATCAGTATATTAATATAATAAATATTTGTTGGACGAGGACACGGTATCTGACCATTGTTACGGAGATGACTTCGAGTTTGGCTTCTAATATACGGCACTAGTAAACTGCCACTGAGTATTATTCCCTCCTGACCGAAGCGATTCATCCTGATATGCTAAAGGACCTTGACGAAAACTCAACACGCACTTGATTTGGACCGCTGCTCTTACTTGCCAAATACTATACACATAAATGCAACTTCAATGGGGTGAAACCTTTTTTCTGCATTTTACTGTGACATAGTAACTACACAAACTTTCTAAAAATGTAATATATATCTAATATGGCTTGAGCTTACAGATTGATTGCTGGGATTAACAATTCAACAAGAGTTTTGAAGAACCAGGAAATCCGGGATGCAGTTAAATCGTCAGCAATTAAATCTGGTTAAGTCGTTAATCCACGTACAAAGACCCTCACCAGGTGCATGGGCGCGTTCCGGCTGCCCAGGGCCTTCCCGCCCTTGCCCAGGGTAGTAAGCGTTTGCTGGAACTCTGCAGCCAGCCACTTGGTCTCATCCGCGCCCAGCGAGCCGATGCTGGAGAACTGGCCCACCACTGGCCAGGGCTCCTCGCTCTGGACCGGCCGTGTGTGTTCGCTCAACAGCTTGGAGGAAGGAGATGGCAGTCAGCGGAGATCGTGCGGCCGCCTGGACGGGGTTAGCGTCCTGAAGCTACAGAGTCGCTCACCTTCCTCAGCCTCAGGTGGCCCCACCTGTCCATGTCAGCCCCCAGGTAGCGGCCGGGCGTGGAGCCCACCAGGTAGATCCTGCACAGACACAAACAGCCCTGGGTGAGTCCCCGCCCCGTGGCCCCTATTCCCAGTACGTCAAGCGCGGCCCACCTGGTGTCAGACAGGTCGTGCTCCTGGATGCGCTGGGTCCACTCCTCCAGCTCAGGGGACCGGTAGGAGCGGAGGTAGTCGAGCAGGTCGCGCTTAAAGCCGGTGGGGGACTCTCCTGCCGACGAGGGGCTGCCTTCAGGGAGCCGGGGGTAGAGGGGGCTCAGCCACAGCCTGGGGGTGGGAGTGGTGACAAAGCGATACAGGAGGTGAGGACTGACAGAGGCCCACCCACCACCTAACAGTAAACCCACTGGAAGCACCAGTGCGTCTCATATCTCTGTAAACTCCCAAATGCGGCCTGATGTTCATCCAGCATGAACAGACACAGTCCTCGCAAGAGACTGACAGGTGTGCATGTGCAAGTATATATAGTATGTTTTCTTTTCATAATATTTATTTTTTAATTATGGATTTATATTCTGTACCTCATCCATTTCTTTACTGTTGCTTTCTATTCATGACAAATACATATGAAATAACACAAACCTGTATATATCTGTACATACATACATAATACTTCCACATACAGCAGACCCTGAATACCCATTTGGCTTCCTGTACATGCATTATTATTCTGCACTTTACTGTTAATTATGACACTTTCTGTAAATAATGCTATGCTTGCAGTTCTGCTCTGGTGCTACCTGCATCTCACTGGCATTGTACTCATACTCTGCATGACTCCAAAGCTGAATCTGATCTGATCTATCGGATGCTGAGTGTTTATAAGCCTTTCCACACTTGGAATATGGGGGAGTTCCCCAAAAGTGCCGTGTTCAGAGAAAAATGTCACCTTGGGCCCCCGTAGCTCATTCTTGTGACCTAGGGGTTGGGGGGGTCCCTTGGCAGATTTTTCCACTTTAGGGAGGGGGCTTCGGTAGATCCACACACTAATTAGGGGCCCCTTTCCACCCAAGGCCCATAAAAACACCCCTCCCCCCCCCAGGCGAGAGGTAGGGTGTGTGAAACTTTTAGAGCCTTGGTTCCTGCTGGAGGTCCCACCAAGACCTCCTGACGCCACCATCCCTTTAATGTCTCACAGCCGCGATGGTCTGCAAAGCCGCGATGGTCTGCAAAGCCGCGATGGTCTGCAAAGCCGCGATGGTCTGCAAAGCCGCGATGGTCTGCAGACGGAGTAACGGGCACCTCTGATGTCATCACAGAAAACTGCACCTAGTCATTCGCACTCCAAAAGTGAAGTTTGAGACGTTACACAACTTCCCCATTGTATTCAGGATTTTAAAATGATCCCCTTACTGTGTTTGCGCTTTAAGTTCCGACCTGAAACTGGGTTATTCAGCCTCTGACGCTGCGAGTTCCTCTGTTTTTAGGGGGGGGGGGAAAAAAACACGCCTCATTTAATCTGGGAATAGCTGCTCGCCGCATCGTCATGGCAACCGACAAAGACTTGTTTTTAACTTTGCTCATTGCGCAGCACCCCTTATGGACACGAAGCGGGCCGGCTCCCACGTGTGCCCAAAACCAGTGGCACTGGCGCGACAGTCCTTCCAGTGAGATACAGGTGTGAAGGATGTTAAATCGCACTTTGTACTGATTTCACATTTTGTTGCCGTCAAGCAGCTGTTGCAGTTTGCTTTTAGTTTCTCTCTCTCTCTCTCGCTCTCTCTCTCCTTGTGTACCTAACATGCTCCACTTCAGAAGCATTGACCTCCTCTGGCAGCACGTCACTAATAGCCCAGCTCCGAATCAATCCGCGACTGTTCATCTCCTCTCACCCCTGTGTCTTCTGGTACCAGTCGTGTGGAATCATGTTGGACGTCAGGATGACCACCCGGAACCCCTCTTCATACCACAGCAGCATCATCTTCCTGCGTTGGGGGGGGGGGAAAGGGGCAGCCTGTCAGCGCACCGTACAGCGAACGTGTGCTTTACACAGGCACGCCATGTGCTGGGTGTTCGAAGCCGCCAGCCTGCACCAGTAAGCACACTCCTGGGGATTTTTCCCCATTACTAAATTTCCAGGCTGCAGCGACAGAGCCGCCGCATGATGAGGAAGATTTCCACCAATCACGAAGCTCGGCTCTGCGACGAGCGGCTGGGCCGGCCAATCGCAGAACGTTTACCAGCCATTTAGGATGACGAAAGAAAATGAGGACAAACAACCTAGGTGTTAAAATAAGATTATGGCGTTTCCGTCATTTTCTCGATTTAAGTTCAGTCAAGCTGTGTTTACCGCAAAGATCAAACACATCAAACACCAACCTGGCCCCCGTCAGTCCACTACACCTTAAATAAAACATGCAAAATATGAGACCCACCAAACACCCCTTATAAATATGTAAGCGTGCAATGAGATGATCCTGTCCCAGCAGTTATTAATGGATTAAACCCAACTGTGAACCAAACAAATCACCCCCCTTCAGTCTGATTAAAATGTCACGTACAAATTAGTGGTAAGTGAATTACTCATGGCTCTGAGAAGGTACTGTGTTTGTTCACTTTGAAAGCCACCTGTGTGTGTTACCCTAAAGTCCATTAAATATTAACAGTGCCAGCAGGCAGGTTGTCCTGCTTCTGCTGGCCTTCCGGCTAATGAACCAGATTTATGAACAGAAGGTCCTTAAATTGCTCATATTAGAGCTGATGCTTTAACACATTACAGAATGTCCTAAAAACTAATGGAGGATGAATCATACAATCTGAAGCAAACCTGCACTTATGAGGAGTCTTAAGCATGTTACATGATAAGAGGACCCCTGGTGTCACACAGGGTAGTGTGTGGGATGTTGCCCTTTCCATTCACCAGGAGGAACATCTCCAGATCTCTACAGCACACCAATGGCCAGGAAAGTCACAACTGACAAGAGCACTAAGGCTCCACGCTGCCCTCTGCTGGAAAAACATGACGGTTGATTATCAGTAAATGCCACTTACGTGTGATGGGTTCCGAAGGCGATATCCAGTTTGGCCTAGAAGGACGGAAACAAAACCTTTTATCTACTTATCTGACATTCAGTGATTTAGAATAATGAATTCTGGCCAGACGCGTGACATGCAGACCTGGCAGAAGCGGATGTGTCCGTAAGGCTGTGCCTGCTGTATCAACCTGGCTTTCGACTCTCGCTTCTCCCCATGAACGATCATCAGGGGCTTGTCCCTTTGGAGGGCCGACGTTTGGGTTAAACACAGGCACACCATACTGCTCCACAGCATGTTAGGTCAACGTAGACACACCCACCTATTCCAGATCCCTCCACCTCCAAAGAAGTGTTACCCAATGTGATCACACAACCAGGGCATGAGAGGGAACGCTGAGTTCCCATAACAAGTACTCATCCCGAAGTCAGGGTCCTACCTGAATTCTGGGGGATACTGCTGCACCATCCAACCGATGTCGAAGCAGTAATTGAACTGGAAGATGTGAAAAGAAACATGACTGCTTATTACAGCATATCAGTATGAGAGAGAGCGTGGGAAAGAGTCGCAGCTGTAGCTCCTACCTGCACCGACTCCTTCAAGGTCCCGAACAGCGGCGATAGAATGTCTGCCAGCACGAGGAGAAAGGAGAGCAGAAGGTGGTTACACCGAAGCAGGAGGCTTAGGGCAGGGATGCCAATACATTGCTCACAAGCTACTAGTACAGAGGTGGGCAATCTTATCCGCAAAGGGCCGGTGTGCGTGCAGGTTTTTGCGATAACCTTTAGGTCAGCTGTTCAAACCCAGGTGTGAGGACTCTTCAGCCTATCAGTCCTCTAATAAGTAATCAAATTAGGGAGCTGCAGCGAAAAACCACATACCCAGCGGCCCTTTCTGGATAAGATTGCCCACCCCTGTACTAGTAGCTCACAGGAAGCCAGTGAGTCACTCCCATAATACTTAATAGATCCTATTTCTACAATCTTAATTAATTTTTAAATTTTGCTTATACGTGTCTGCATTGGGGCACTATGAGGAGTTGCACTTCAAGTTCCCCCCCCCCATGGCCCAAGCAGCCCACCTCTAATGTGCAGAGCTCCGGTATTGTACTTCTTCTCTACGCCGGACACCTTGTTCAGGTAAAAACGGAATATCTCGTCACTCGGAGGCAAACTGGTCTCGTAGAACTCCTCCGGCTCTTCTTTGTAGTCCGGCTCCCTGTGGGGACTCGGGGGCCGTCTGTCTTCTACCTTTGTTCTCTTGGGACTCGGCTGCTTGCGTTTTCTGTCGCTGGAGTCGGCAGCTTCGTCGTCGCTGCTCGACAGAGCCCAGCCTGAATCCTCCGTCTCTCTCTTTCTCTTCGTGGAGGCAGACGGCGCTTTGTTTTCAAACTTTACTGGGTTCTGCTGGTTATAATGGGCTGCTTGCCTGGCTTCAGAGCCAACAGAGCCACCGTCAGGCTTTGGCGGCTCCGGGGGCCATTCCGTCTTTGCGTCTGGGCTCGATGAGGAGGTGGATTCCTGCTGCACCCCCAGTGGAGAGTGATGGTCATCTGTAGAAGCGGGGATGGGGCGATTCAAGGCTTTAGATACGGTTTGCTGAGGCGGATCCTCGTCATCACTGCTGGACAAAGTCCACTTTCCGTGCTGACTCTCTTGAGACATCGTGCAGCTGTGAACATGTTTAGAATTGTGAATTTTTAGCTTGTAATCACGAAGCATAGTAACATCTCGAATACTCAGCCAAAGAAAAAATATTGCACTAATTATTAAGGATGCATGTCGCGTGCGCGTACACATGCACCATTTTTGTTTTGCACGTTGCCCATCATGCACAAGCTAGACAGTTGTGTCAAATAACCCCGCACTTCGCAGATGTTACATGAGTGAGACAGTACGTTTTATAATGCAAACAGAAGAATGGAAATGCAATTTACACAATACTGCATGATGGGGATAATAGACATTAGCGGATCATTGTTTACGCGCAACACTGATACAAAGCAAAACGCCTATGTGCTGGACGCGGCCCACGAAACATGGCGGACGGAGAGCTAGATAACGTAATCGACTCTGATTACGTAAACGCATCCGCTAATTAAACGATAATATGTCCATTAGAAGTTAGTTATAATATGCATACTACAATAACTTTACCAGAATAGCGCCGAAAGTCAGCGTGCGCTAGCACCACGTTGCCTAACCAATCGCATCCCGCAATGTTTTCTGGTGGGCGGGGCCTCAACTCGTGGCCAAACGCGCGAGGCCTTAGTGTTGCCATGGCGCCCGGAACTGTTTCCCCTTTTCAGTTTTGCACGGTTTCCTCGTCAGTTAAGTGGAACGCTCGAAAAAGATAGAAATGTCCTCGTATAAAAAAAGATATTTAATGACAGAAGAAAAGGTTATAACAGATACTGACAGAAGACACTTTGCCACAGTAAGACTCTTCGTACATAGTTATGTCTTTAACACCCGAGAACATGCTCTTGTTACCCACCGTCTTCGGAGAGCTGATGTCTGGGCTGGTAGTTTTAAAATGTCTACAGTAGTGTTTTGTCTGGTTGAGTGAATACGTATCTACAGGTTTTCCATTCGTAGTGTCTTGGGTTTTTTAAACGGCTGAATTAAAATAACTGAACTGGTGTGTGTTCTGTTTGATTCAGCATTTTCTTGCCCGCAGGTTTTCCGTCTTTGCGACCAAGGACAGAGAGGCTACCTGAGCAGAGAAGACCTGAAGATGGCCGTGGTCATGCTGTTTGGCTATAAGCCCTCCAAGGTAGTCCGTCTTGCGTGACTCTACTGCCTTTACTGGTTTATCCGTAAAAACCGTTCAACGCGTACCTCTGTGAGTGTGATGACGGTCCGCGCCCCCTAGATGGCAGTACCACACTGTTATTCCACCCTGGCCTCAGAGGAACAATTGCGTTTTACGGGCAATTAAGAAATCATTCAATTATATTTCATTTAGTCAATATCAGTTGTGAAATGTCGGACTTTTAACAATGAATCTTTTTTCATCTGTGTTTTTTTAATGACATTTTTATAATATACATAAAAGTAATGTAATGGTGTTTTTTGTTAAAGCTAGAAACAAACACCCTCATGGAGCCGGCCCTGAAAGCCAGTTTACCAGGTAATGTAGAAGCCGTGTCATTTACAGCTTTGCTGTATTTCTTATTCAGCCTGCCTGAGTTACCTTGATCGCTGCACGGTCATGTCCACAGGCTGTTCCCATTCTGTGCAGTGATCTTATATTCCATGTGTTGCTCTTCTGTCGAGATGTTTTTGGGCTGGTCTGCCGGTGGCTGCTGGGACAGTAACCGCTTTCGATGCAGCCAGCATTGCATCTTCTTATTACAGCGTAGAACACGAAGGAGTTGCGTGAAAGGTACACAGGCTTCAGATGGCCCATAACAAGTAAACTTTACTCTTTAAGGAATGATTTAAGTGATAGACATAGGCCTGTAAGAAATTTGTCTCTTTGTTTCGAGCATTGATGGATTGCTTTAGTGCAGTGCACAGGGCTGTGCTGTTCTGATGAGGTTTTCCAGCAGGAAATGTGACAGTGAAATGTTCTGGGGGCTTGTTTATGCTTGGACAGTAGCATTATATCCTGGATAGACCACAGGGCCACAAGTACTGCATCCCTCCCTTGCGCTCAGAGTCTGTGGCCTGTCACCTTTTATATTTCTCTTGGAGGTCAGTCTTAGTGGTGTATTCCCAAAGAGTTACGCCTCACGTCTCAAGCCTAGGTGGGTACTTTTGTTGTACTCTAGAGCCAGCAACTTGGTCTTATTGCATGTGGACGTCCCGCTGCAAGGTGGGCGGGTGCAACAATTTGGTGGGAGTAAGTGCCGGCTGCGTGCGCCTCCAACATGCCAGGCCATGACTCGCAGCCAGTCACTGCGGCCATGTCGCATTTCTCCCTACAGATTTTAACTCATCATTGCAGGCCAAGCTTCAGATGGCTGGCCTGCAGTAGCGAGGGAGGCTGTGCGATCTTAGATGAAAGGCCACCACGCCGCTGACGTTTCCTCCACTGCTGGTCCCTTTGTGTCCTGTGGGATCAGTCGCAAGTCGGCCCCGTGGACGGTGTAGTGCCAGTCTAATGATGAATTATCGGAGTTAATGAAAGAATAATCAGCACTTTTGTAATGAATTATTCCCTCCCGGTGAGATCTACCTTCAGTGACAGGCTTTTAATTAAAAATGTGTGTGAAGTGTGTGAGGTTATTTTAGTTAAATTTTCAGAAAAATGAATCATAATTCACATATTTTTCAGTGTATCAGCTCTTTTCTGTTCCCTTTGTCGTAACCTCGGTGCCCTCAGAGACTCTTGGTCAGCGCATTCGGTGTCTTCCACAGGCTGGGCTCCCCGTTCCACCGTCACTCGGCATGTTCCCTCGGCATCAACGGACTGTGCGGGTCACTGTTTCCCCCGATATGCGCTCTGTGTTGCGCGCACGGTGCTCTCCATGAAGAGGGCCGTACAGATGATGGTGATGGTGACTTCAGGGCTGAGACTATGTCTCTCTTGATTTCTCTGTTCTGGAAAGGTGTCCCCATGGACCACTTTGTGTCGCTGATGGGAAGGAAGCTCTCAGTTCAAGATCCCTATGAGAGAACGAGGCAGATCTTCAGTGTCTTCGATGCACACTGTGAGTTCTTCTTTATGGGGCACATTTCTGTCAGTAGGGGGCACTGTCATGATTATTATGATTTGGTTCCTATGTGTAAGACAGAAACTATCACTGCATGCGACTGTCTTAAGAGGGATACTAAGAACCTCAGCCCAGCAGTAGGAAAGCTTATCTAACCAAGCAAAAGTGTCTTCCTGTGGGCATTCTGTCTGTCACGCTCCCTACTGGATGGCTCCGGCTCAACAGTTTCATGTGGGGCTCAAGTCATCTTTGGCTTGGAATCTGTCAGGTAACCTCCAGAATAATGTCATTCCAGTCAGATCTGTGCCTTTACCCAGCATACAGTGTGCCAAAGTGCCATTGTGGGTAGGTCTGCTTAATGACCCCCACACGCTGGGGTGTACTGAAAGTGTGACCGAAACAGCCCAAACACAAAGAGTCTCCTATATGTCTGCTTGTAGCCAGGCTGTTTGCAGGCCAGTTGTTTGATGTGTTAGTCATTCTCTCCCAGAATGCCCTTGGGTCTTTGGGCTTTAAGTGCACCAGGCCTCGTTCCTCTTGAAGGCTCTGGCCTGTCGCCACACGCCAGCAGAGCCCCAGCTCCATGGGCCTGCCCCATGCCAGTGTCGCCCTGGTGTGGTCACACAGTGAGCCAGACCTTGTGATGAAGTTGCTCTCAAGGAGCACCCCGACCCGACATGCGTGGATCATGGTTCTGATCCAGTGTGCCATTTTGATCATCATACAGGCATCTGTACTGTGTTGCTGTCTGGGCTCTGGTACATGTCTATAGTGACTCTGATGTGTGGCATAAACACTGGAGGGCGCTAACATTCAAGTGGTTGCTGCAGTAGCATAGCATAGCAGCTCCAGATCTCAGCCTCTGTGCAGCCTCAGAGCACTTGGCCAGTCATAGTACACCTTATGCTCTGGGCCTGGCCATTCCCACCCTACCGTTCAGGTCACCTTTGTGTGTAATTTTCTCTTAAAATCGTACTTTACTTATAGCGCGCTCTGCATGATCACATCACTGCACAGCTGTATGTAGGAGTAATGGGTAGGCTGGATATCTCAGTTCACTTTGGCATCAGACAGTGAACAGAGTAACTGCCCCAGAACAGGAGTGTCCCCTAGGGTCTGAAGGAGGGGTTGACTGTAGCTGAACCTTCAAAAGCAGGAGTCCAACCTAGGCTGGTCTGATAGAACCACAGGCATGATCTTGGACTGTGAGCAGCTTTCCCTTGGCCAAAGTAACTTGTGGCGTCAGCTAACATTTGAGGAGGGTGTTTCCTGGGGTATGCACTGTCTATGATTTGGTGTAGTTTAGATAGATCCCTCATTTTCAGAACCTTGTTTCTGCAGGTCGTGGTTTTCTGACCCTGGAGGATTTCAGAAGAGTCTTTTCTCGCCTGGCTCCCCTCCTGCCAGACCGGACCATACAAGAGGCCTTCTGGTAAGTTGCCCTCTGTTTGCAGAAGCACAGCCTGTACGCCTGCTGTGTTTATGGCCTTTGCCATGTCATTCTTGGCATAAATACTTCCGGGGTCAGGAGGTCCGGGTGACCTCAGCAAAGGGTGTAATGTTCACAGCTTACAGCCCCGCTGTACTCGCCTTACCCTGCAGGTGAAGGGGGTGCCCTAAAGCGGATGGGTTTCGGGCACCCGGAGTGCTGTGCATTCAGGGGCTGGCTGTGTACGCCACGGCTGAGCTTTTCCGTTGCTAACGGCAACAACCACATTTGACAGGAAAGTCCCGTGCTGGCAAAGCTGCCAAACCACAAGTGCTGAGCCGTGAGTGTGAGGAACACGACAATGAGGCCTTGCCTTTTCATGTTCCTGTGCAGACAGGGTGCTGTTCGGTGGCCTGCCATTGACCTCGGCTGTGGGAGTATTCTGTACCAGCCATGCTTCTTACAACAAGTAAACAGCCAGATCCTGTAACCATGCTTGGTTTATCTGCATGCCCAAGGCTCTGTTTAACCCCAAGTGTCTGGCTAAGAGTCTAAACCTGGGGTGGGCAATCTTATCCGCAAAGCGCGTTTGCAGGTTTTTAGGATAACCTTTAGGTCAGCTGTTCAAACCCAGGTGTGAGGACTCTTCAGCCAATCAGTCCACTAATTAGTAATATAAGTACTGAATTAGATTACTAGTCTAGTGCATGAAGGCATTCTCTAGGGTGCAGCCTCCTTGTCACCATCGTGGTAGAGTGACTTAGGGCCATCGGATGTCACACCTGAAGCGTTGCTGCTGGCAGTGTTGCTCTTTTTGTTGTTTCAGTCTCCATGACAAATTTCTGTTGTCAGCTTCCCATAAACACGGGCACTGAGATCGCTCCCCTGATAGCCATCTGCTCAGCTGTACACTCCTCACTGACGGTCTCGCGGTCTTGGAGCCGCCCTGCAGACGTGGTCATGTGTCTGAATGCGGGGCATCACGAGTGCTGCGTGCAGAGCTGGCCCATGTATCTCTAGTCTCTCTAGTCTTACAGGCTTGACCAAGTTGCTTAATATTCATTAGATAAGATAAGCCTTGGTATTCTTGTGAAAGTGATTAATTAAGCAGCTGTGATCTTTCTTTGTGTGGGAAAGTGGGTGAACTATGTAAATTGAATTAAAACATCACAATAAAGCTCTTATCAAAGCAAAATGCAATTAAGTATTGCAGAGTGTTTTACTGTAAGGAGTACAGGCAGTCTATACAGGCTCTTTCTCAATTGTATTATCACTGCAATTATGTCATTTGAGGTCCTGCTAAAATAATTCAGAGAAATATGTATGCTGATTTGCATTCTTACATTGAACTGTTTTTAGAGGGTTGGTGCATAGTAGTGGGCTTGTGTAGGGTAAATTGTTTTGGTGTAAAGGTTTGGTGTACAGTAGAGAGATGGTCTATGGTAGACTTGGTCCTGTGGGTTGGTGTACAGTAGACTTGATGTAGTGGAGTGGTGCATGGTAGAGTTGGTGCGGAGGGCTGGTGTGCGGTCGACTTGGTGCAGAGCGGTGGTGTTCGGTAGATTTGGCGGAGAGGGCTGGTTTACAGTGGGTTGGTGTACAGTAGTGGGCCACTGCTGCCTTCTGCACTGTTACTCACCTCTCACTGCTCCTCTGCTTTCTCAATGTGGACATGCATGTCAACTCCCTTGTCTTCTGGAACAGGGAAAATGCAGCTTC